CAATAGAGCATGAAAGACAATTAAATTTGCAACATCAACATTTTTTTTCGTTCTGAGCACATTTGGACGCCACCAATGGAGACAATTATGAAGAAATTTTTGAAATTGAACTTCCTGTCTTTCAAACTGAAAATCTCAGGTTGATATTTTGAAACATACATTTGTGACATCAGTCTGGGATGATATTGGTTTTTCCATTTAGTTAAGTACTACAAAAGTCAGTGTGCCTGCTTCTTCGCAGATGACATTGGACAAAGATATGCATGCTTACTTTAATATAAGCACTGAATGCATTTTTTGTTATCTACACTGTACAGTCAAATTCCATGAAAGCATGCTAACCGCTTTTCAGTACTTTCAGTACTTTGATTTTTAGGGTAGTCTTCGCAAGACAAGTAGGGAGTTCGGGTGATATAGACCGATGCGACATGCTTAAGCGAATATTGAAATTTACTGGAAAATTGGTCTTATCCTTGGGAAAATTCCTATAAAAGAATAATAAAGGTATGCTCTTTTAGTATGATCATTCTCAAATCTACGACTAATTGTACATTCTTGTCAACTTTCTATCACGGTTGGCGACTGTGGGACAAATACTTTAGATGTTATACTTCCTGTGGTGCTCTCGAGATGTTTATAAACACATTGAAAACACGTGGATTTGAGGGTAGCCTTGTTTGCAGATGGAAAAAGTCAGAAAACGCCGTTTAGGTGCCCTGCTTTTTTGTGTCAGCTAATGTGAAAAGTAATGTTTAACACCTCCTGATGTATATTTTTTTATGTAAACAAATACCTGATTTTTTTTAATTGTATAGTGAAAACAATTACCGGTGTGATACCTTGAAGAGCTCTACTTCTAGGGCAGTTTTATGCACTTTGAGTGATCTTCCCTTAGATGTAAGATTAAAATATGTTATTAACAGTTAATTACACAATTTGTAATAAATTAAAATATTTTTAGCATTATATAAGACCAATTGCAAGAATATGTAAATGAGTATTGTAACATCATTTTCATTTATTTTCTCACTGTAAGTAAACAGAAGTGATTTCTGTTTACTAATACCGGTAGTCCATTGTGTTTGAACATTTTTCCTTCCGAAAAAAGGCAGGTTCCTTTCTCTACACATAAATGAAAAAGTCTCAATATGCACACATTTATATGTCCTATTTTTCTTCAAGTCCAAAAAGCAGTTCTGTTAGTTTTCTTAATCAAAACTTGTATCACATTGGTGCATTTTTGTTTCGAAATGTTTGTCTCACCGGAAACAAAAAGATAACTTCTGGTTATACGCTGTACAAGAGAAAAACATATTTCTTTCCGACGATTTGTTTAATAGATGAAGTACTTCCATTTTCCCCCAAAAATATTTTGTTTGAGATCTTAGAAGCAGTTAGAAAGCTGAGACACCAAACATACATGTATGTGAGTAATAAAATCTGAGGAGTAGGCAAATCCATTTCTCTATGGAGCGTCAGCCGTCACTTCCAGTCGTCAAGGGAAGTAATCAAAGAAATGGAAAAATTATAATTTTTAAAAATCAAATCTTTTATCATAATAATACGCCTCTTTCGTAGTTTCCAATATGTTAGTTCCATTTGAAACAATGAAAGAAAAAGTGAGCAAGCTCACATACCCCACGCTCCCCCATAAGTTGCAGTGCTGAAAATCAAGGGAAAAAAAGGAATCAGAATTTCCTGGTAATATGCACATCTACACATCGTGTCCTAAATATCTGCAAAGTTTGACGAAATTGTGTGCAGCGGTTTATGAGGAGTTGTGCTGACAAACAGTTCCTCTCTTTATTCAAGATCTAGCCAAAAATCTAAGTTGAAAAGTGCGGAAATTCCCGGAAAAAATAAAGGAATAGGAATTTCCTGGTAATATGCACATCTACACATTTTGTCCTAAATACATGTATCTTCAAAGATTGATGAAATAGTGTGCAGCGGTTTATGAGGAGTTGCGCTGACAAACTGTCCATCTCTATATTCAAGATAAATCCAAAAATCTAAGTTGAAAAGAGCAGAAATTCCCCCAAAAAATAAAGGAATTGGAATTTCCTTGTAATATGCAAATCTACACATTGTGTCCTAAATATCTACAAAGTTTGACGAAATTGTGTGCAGCAGTGTATGAGGAGTTGCGCTGACACACTGTTCATCTCTATATTCAAGATATGGTAAAAAAAAATCTAAGTTGAAAAGTGCGAAATTAATGGGAAAAAAGGAATACGCCAGTTTCAAGATTGTAACTCTCCTACGATAGAGGCGCAAAAAGTATCCGTCTCGGCAGGGAGGTGGGACAGGTTGTTTCTTTATACAAACGTGCATAAATAAATGAACGATATTTATGGCTTTTAAAATTTATTAAATGTTATAAAAAAGATAATGATATTAAGCAGTGACGCATTTGATGATTTTATCAAGTTCCACTGCGCATATTTACAAATCTACTTTAAATTATAGGTACTTGAAAACGAAAGAAACGTCGTAGTCTCAATAAAAAGTAACCGATTTTCTTGATTGTACAACCTTTTTGAAAAAAAAAAGTTTGTGGGTTTTTTGAAATTATAATAAAGAAAAGAATCAATGTGTCATTTAGATCGCCTACATACAATAATCGGATGCATGTGTACCGTTTTTTATTAGAGGTCCAAATTTCTTCCCTCGTCTGAAAAGTTTCACATCCACCGACATTTTCTTTTTTATTACGAATTTTTTGCTTTAAAAAATGACGTCTTTAAATTAATTCGGTTATTTTCGAAATGTAGAGTGCATCCTGACAATCATGTAGTTATGATAAACCAGTATATCGATAATACAATGTATCCAATATATAAATATCAAATATTTGTCCCACGAATTATTTTTGCCCTAGGGATTTTGAAAATATTTTGATAATTGATTTTTACTGTTACATTTTTTTAAAGATTAAAATATCGAATATTTACCATCCCGATTTCTTGGGGGGGTCATCTCAAAAGTAGTCAAATTTTACTATTGGACCCTATGGGAATTGTTGGAAAAGCGCCAAATTATCACATTTTTTTGTATTTTTGCCCTAGAGATTTATTTTTTATTCAAGTATATAAAAGTTATAGTAAAAATTCACCAAATTGTGAAAATTCAAAAACATTGACTATCTAGTTTGGTCTATTAACTACTAAGTTAATTTTTTCAAAGCCCAATACCTCTAAAATTGCCACATTACGGTATAAATACATATCAGTGCAGATGAATTATCGGCGCATATGATTTTTTCGATAAAAATATCAATTTTTAGATTGCTTTTATGTTTCTTTGGATGTTTTGTCATCAGTTTTTAGCATAATATCCATGGACGTCTTGAACAAGCGAGTCATGCATCATTCTTCAGCGTCATGCATTGCTTACATTAATATCGGAAAATGTTGACGTCGTTATAGCCATTTCAGCTTTTATCCTAATTGTCGAAAAATGATATTTTCAGACCAGTAGTGGTTACAGATAATGTTAACTTTGTATTAAAATCAAAATAATTGGCAAAGGTGTACTGTTGCACAAATGATTGCATGAAATAACCAGAAGTCTCTGTCGAGACTGAAGCTCTACTGGTTTGTACTTATAACAAATGAAGACAAAAGTAGCAGTTGGGACTTAAAACTTTACACAGCAATAAATAGAATAATGATGCTTGATTGAGCTCTTTTTGTGGCAAGATACTGCTGTAGGAGTAGCTATTAATAAAATTTTAGAGTATTTTCAATTTTAGTAACCATGGCAACATCATTCCTCGAAATCAAAAATCGATACACAGAATTGTGTATCTTAGTGTTGTCTACTCGTGTGCCAAGTTATATTGAAATCAAACCAAAACTGTAGGAGGTGTAGCATTTTGAAAGCATTTTAGATAAATTTCTATTTTTAGAAATAAAGGCAACACCGTACATCGAAATAAAAAATCGATACACAGAATTATGTATCTTCGTGTAGTTTACTTGTGTGCCAAGTTATAATGAAATCAGTCCAAAACTGTAGGAGGAGTAGCATATTGAAAGTATTTCACAGAAATTTCTATTTTTAGTAACCACGGCAACACCATTCATTGAAATCTAAAATTGATATACAGAATTATGTATCTTAGTGTAGTCTACTTATTTGCCAAGTTATATTGAAATCAGACCAAAACTGTAGGAGGAGTAGCATTTTAAAAGTATTTCACAGAAATTTCTATTTTTAGTAACCACAGCAACACCGTTCATCGAAATCAAAAATCGATGTACAGAATTATGTATCTTAGTGTAGTCTACTGGTGTGTCAAGTTATATTGAAATCAGACCAAAACTGTGGAAGGACTAGCATTTTGAAAAATTGTTTACAGACAGACGGACGGACGCCGGACTCATTACTATCGCATAAGCTCTTCTGGTCTCTTACCAGTACAGCTAAAAAAGCTACGCAAAGTCATGCGCACTCGAATTAGACTCGGCCTCGTGAAGGTCGTCACAGGAAGTGATCAAAGAAACGGAAAATTTGATATATTTTTTTATTTCAAAACTTGCATCACATTATTTCAACTCTTTCGCAGTTTCGAAATATATCAGTCCAACCGGAAAACTTGTAAAATGAAAAATTCACTAAAAGGTCGCCAATCGGTTCCGATGTTACATGTAGGAAAAACTATGCATAAAATAAACGTAAAATATACTGTATTTGCTTAATCAAATTGGAAATACCCGCCGTATACATAATCATCTACGTACAGTGTAGCTGTATTTATATTTACACATACATGTAACTCTTCTCTCTATAAAGGGAGTAATCGCGAGTTTCTGTATCCCCTCTTGATATCTGCAATATCATATGCATAAAAAACATATTGCATTTAATATATATTTCAGTTTATGTTAGTCAGTTAAACAGGTGCAGAAAACAGCAACTTGCTATCAAGGTTAAAGACTATTTAGATCTATTTCGAATCGATGCAAATTGTTAATCATCATTCATAACTTACTTACCAAATTTACTACACAGGATGTTCCACAATTCTCCAATAGCCCCATCATTTGAATGCTTCTGAGAAGGATTTTGTGAACCACATAATGTGAAGCAAAGTACTTCGTCACATCTTTTTATGACAAGGGTTACGGCAACGTATCTTCTTTGCTTCAAGTTTATTCCTTTTAAGCAGCTTGAAAGCAGATCATTCTGCACCATGTCAAACTCAATTTCATCTTTTTCATAAAAATAAAGATCCTCTGCACAAAACTTGAACGATGATCGATGGCCAATTTTCAGTTTATCTAGTAGAAAATAAATGATTTCTTTCTGATATATTTACATTTACCAATGTCTTTCTCCGAGATAAACCTCAAAATAAGGTAATACATTGTATTAGCTTTATAACCTCATCAAGTAATTTGCTAAGAACGTGACAGAACTGCATACTTTTTCGCTGCCTGTTGCTTAAAGGTACTTGGACACATATTTGAAGTTATTATTTTCTCTATAATATTACCACTTATATATTTTAATAGCATTTCACACAAAAATTAATTAAAAATCTTATTTCATTTAAAAGACATTAAAATTTCAAATTTTTTGGCAAACTTTAAATTTTTCTTAATTTGTCTTTTGAAATAAAAGTTGGAAGGGATTTTTTTGAATTCAAATTAAATTAAGTAAAATCTGAATGGATTTTATTTAAATCAATTTTCTTGATATACAATATTGTTGTTTTTCATATGAATCTGAATTAACAATCCAGCAATTATGACAAAAGACATGTTGACAGAGTTAAGTATTGATCTTTTTTTCTTTTTGAAATCAAATGACCAGTGAGCATTTGCCAAAAATATACAGCACTGTTCTGCCAAAAAATTAAAAAAAAAAAAAAAAAGCTACATCTTGTAGTGCCTGGCAAGTTATCTAATCGAAATAGACTTAGTTGGTTTTTTTTTTTTTTTTTTTTTTTTTTTGTAAGTGAATTAAAAATATGATATTTTAAATTAGTACTTTGAAAAAAAATTTTTCGTAAAGACTGGATGAAATATTTTAATTATTCATTTTTTGATAAATATACAGTAGGACTGTTCTCTTTCATACAAATCTCAATGTACAGTCTCCAGCATTTATGTCGGAGAACTCTTTCGTAAAAGTTATGTACTGACAATTTCTTATCCAACGACTAATTTGGGTAAGCGAAAAACATGCTGAAAAAAGGAACAATCCTTTTTGACAGGTGAGTAATTTTATTTTTATT